CCCCCCCCCTCCCACCCACCATCCTAAAATTTTCCCCAACTTCCTATAGCCTGGCTAATCACATTCCCCAGCTTTCTCCAGAAAAATACGTACATATAGCCCCACAAACGGGGAAATCATGGAAAGTAGTCGAAAGAAAATATTTTCCCATAGAGGCGAGCAACCCCCCTCTCCCCTCCACACCGCCAACCAAGTACTGCCCCCCCCCCCTCGCAGGGAATTCCCAACGTACAACGTGCCTGCATGGAAGTACCTTCCGTATGAGCCAACCAAACCTTCCAGCCTCCCGTGGTCGGATAAAGGGCACGTCGTACGTTGAAATTCAAAAAGAGGGGATCGCTTTTGTCAATGATGGGGCGAGAGGGTCTTCTTTGCCCGGAAAAGCTCTTCCTGAAAAGTGGTTTCCCTCGTCGTCGTTCTCTGTTGCACAATATACCCCTCGTCGACGCGCCACAAAACGACTATTTCTATGAGCAGCCCGGGGTGCTAACCACCCCCCTCCACCCACCAACCTGCTTGACGGCTTGAACGCATTTCCGTGAATCGGGTAAAGAGGCTGATCGTGTATGGAAGAAGGGTCTTGGGGGGGGGAGAAAACTGGAGGAGTCGTGTTTAGCGAAGATTCTCACCAACGCCAGGACATGCCCTGGTCGGATATCTGGTACCAGACTTGTTCGGCAGAGTCATCAATAACCTTTATATTGTCTGCCCCAAAAAGTCATTGCTTGGACCTCGCACTGAGAATGCCACTGGAAAGGGATGCTTGACGCATACCAGACCAATCACCAAAGCCTGAAATTTTGCCCTCTCCCCCTCCCCCGCCCCCTCCCACAGCAGATATATTCTAGTCTCCAAATCTTATCACTCATTATCATTCAGCTCTTCCTGCACCGGTGCGATGTTCATTACGGATAGAAACATGTGCCAGCTGTGTCATCAGCATCCAACATCGGCCGCCATTGGACTTCTTCAACGAGCGCGAAATTCGGACGGTACTTTTTGACTGTAGAAGAATTGCTTGTTTGTGAATCGATATATCGATTAATTCATTGATCGGCTCACTACGCTGACAGCTACATATTCTGTACCTTGTCATTGCCTTCACCCAGCTCTTCCGTGTTCGGAGCACTAACACTGCGGAGAAGGGGGATGGGAAGGGCGTATGGGGCGGCTATCTTGCCTTGATCTGTCACTGTCTTTCATTGTTCCAACGTTGTCTGGACATGCCGTCCATCTAGCCTCTAACTAGCTCTCAAATGGAAATACGCATGTAACATCTTCGGAACCCTATTATCGGCAAGATACGAGTCAGGCAGACAGTGTGGGTGGCATAGTCGCGCCGTCGCATGCGTCCTCCCTAACTATTGTCGTTTTCGCCGCAGAAGCTAGGGCCGGTCGCTGCCGCGTCTTGATAATGCCAACGCGTCCTGACACACACACTGGGGGAACGGTTCCCGTTCAGAACGCAAATTTTGACGTTCCTGACTCGTAATCCCCAACTGCCGTTTGCTTGCGACCCTCATATGTACCACCGCTCTACGCAGGTGTGTCCTCGCACATTTTCACTAAAGCCCACCGCCCCCACAGTCGGCTCATCTTTATAATAGTCATCCATCAGTCCCCAACTGACCACTTGGAACACTCTTCTTTTTAAATTTTTCTGAAATTGGGAACTTTTGCTTTCATTCACTTGTTGGACGGGCTATAATTGAGGTGAGAAGTTGCATTGAACGAATTGGCGAGATCAGCGCAGCGCATAATTATGGCCATGACGATTCGTCACGGCATCCTTTCACGCTGAACGTCTCGATGGCCTCACGTCCGTATGTCGCCTGCACAATTACTGCACCTAAAGCGCCAACAAAGGACCAATGTTCCGCTCAGAGGGTGCCTTAATACATGAACACCAAAGATGAGTCCCTAGTCCAAAACCTTAGTTGAGGTTGAAGTGAATATAGTTTGTTCCATACAACTTCACGGCATACTATTCCCAGCTACGGTAAGGGCGCAATGGTACGGAACGATTAATGAACGTAACTTTCGTCTGCATCGCGTTATAGCGTTTGAGCGTCCACCTGTGTCGAGCGGAAAAGGATAGGTATCGATTATTGCTGAAAACGCTGGCGGACGCTCAAAACGCCCGCAAAGTATGAACGCGCTCTAAATCATGAAAAGCCTCAGTCGTGGACAGCGGTGTTAACATTGTACTGAGTAACATCTACTAGGTTTCAGTTGTCCTCGTGCTACGAGTCACTTGTGGACCCATGTTTCGATTTGCGATTTGTCGAGGAAAAAGCAGATTCGGCGCTCGATTTGACCTACAGGAAGTCGTCAATATGGGATTTTCCACAACGGTAGGGTCTTGGAAAAATTTTCCGGCGCAGTTCGGCTTGGTGAAAGCACCAAATAGTACTTGGGGAAGCTAGTTCAGGTCACCCTGTAAAGACCTGTGAATTACTGTGACCAGAATGCTCACCTTTCCGCAGCTTCACAGGAATTTACAGGTCTCACCAGGGTGTAATTTGTTAATCAAACTAGCAAAATGAACTAGAGAAAGTGCATAATGCCCCTCCCAAGCCGAACAGCGCCCATATTCCTAGTTCTATCTGATGCTGGTACCTTTATCTGCATGAGCTCTGACTATATCTTCACCAGTTTCCAAGTTTTGAGTTACAGTTGGTTGTAGTTACAGGTTCAAAAGGCAGTTTCAGGACTGAGGTGAACAGCACTGGCGATTCCATCGTCCTGTTGCTCACTATGTGGAACGTTGAGCAGAACTCAACGCTCAAGCAGTACATAGAGGTAATTTTCGCTTACAGTTTCGCTTACACTCCATATTTGGGCGTAGTTCAGGACATCTTAGTAGTCCTCGCGCGCAAACTAGCAGAGTATTTCCTGTCTAGTTGACTTGATTCAAGCCATAGCGTAGCCCCGTGGGATCAGTTGGGTCCTGGCGAGCACGTAAAACCATTTCCAACGGCTCTTTCGCCGCAATCTGGACATGCTGAACTAAACCATCATACCTATCGAGTGGGAGGGCGAGATTGTAGAGTGGCTGGCGCTGCGGTTCCGGTAGCTTAGAGAGCGTAGGTGACATGACCACCCGTTTTCAACTGTTTTCATCTTTACTTAGAAGTAATAGAATGCTATGGGGCTCCCATCTTATTCATTGGGTACTTTAGATACCAAAGGATGTGTAATGCCGGCGACTGTTGACGTCAATGTTGGGTTCCCTGTTGTTTGTCGGGTTTATTTTTAGTCTCTTTCGGGGAATGTTCGTCTTTTGATTCGTTTTTCAAAACAGTGTCTAAATTGATCATTGATAAGATAAGGGCGATCGGAAAGAATCAGCAGGTCAAGCAAAAACATGGTAATAGAGCCAATGGTTGCAACAACGGGAAGAAACCTAAAGGTTTAATTGTTGTGTCATTCCCAGCCGAGGAACTAAAGACCGTACTGCGATGTGCAATCGCTTTCTCTGGTCAGGGTCTATTTACTATTCCAGGAATTCGTGCCTGTTTACCCACTTCTCTATTTGCTTTCCAGAACTTTATCAGGCTTTTTGATAAGAGACCTCCGATTCATTCGTACAACCCGAAACCTACGTGTGCTTTGTAAACGGAGCATTCGTTCGTTGGGACTCCCCAGTGAGGGAGGGGGGTCCTATTCACTGGCTGGAGGGAGGAATCTCGTATTTGTCTTGAAAAAATATCTTCGGCTGTTGACTTTTCTCGGTTTTTCCTGCTTCAAGCGCGATGTATGCCTTTAGCGACAGCAGTTTTGCAAGAAAAGACGAATTTTCGAAAAAAGAACTCCAGAAAGTGGTAGGGTTGGTAAATTTTCAAAAAAATGAGGGATGAGATAAAAGGGGCGGTCTTGGCAGAGAAGGAATTTCTAAGGGGGGGGGGGGATCGTATATTGCGAATTTTTCCCCCAGCTGCAGTACGTGCCCTGTTTGTAAATATCTTTTAATACCTTATAATACCTTTTCCTGTGTAACTGGCTGCGATTCGCACTATGCAGGGCCTAAAGGGCGCAATGCTAACGCAGGAATGTTGGTGTGGCTTGACGCATCCACATTGCGGCGAAAGAGAGGCGTTACAAATGATGTCACAGGCGCGGCTCTCGCACCAAAACTCAGCTGAGGCGACGCAGCAGCAAGACTAATCAACTAGCTAGGCTATCACGGTCAGGGCACATCGCGGCGCAGTTTGTCGACGGGGGGGGGGGGGCATTTTGCTTTCCATAGATGTGTCGACCCATCTAGGCAGCCGTTTCTCGAGTTGACACGTTTTAGGATAGTGGCTAGACGATCTTACTTCAGCTTCACAAGAGTTCACAAGTTTTACCAGAGTGAGATTTGTAAACCGGAACTAGGGAAGCAATGATAATACAAAATGCCCCCCCCCGTCGACAAACAGCGCCCCCCCCC